TCTTTCTATATTATATATGATATTCATATCTGGTATCTACGTTCCTCTACCGTAAACTGTTGCTGAATCAGCAACGTAGGGTAAAATGAATAGTTGATAACTATAACATAAAATACACACAATATCATGTTGAATGGCACTCTGTAAAGGTCACTGGCATGTGCACTTCGACCCACATAGGGTTAAAAGAAAATAGAACAATTTACACAATAACAGAAATTTGTCTTAATTGATATGAGGGTTGGTTTACTAATTCAAACTACACAGCTTTAGTTGTTTTTATTCTGGGTAATTTGTTCATACTTTTCTATGATACATTAGAAAAACCCTTTTAACAAATTTGATGGATACCTAAAAATTTATGGATCTTGCATATAAATAATTTGAAAATATCATCTTTACTTTGTTGACATCTGAAGACCATTTTTAAAATCTTGTTATGAACATTGTAAATAACATAAAACATGCAAATTATAAATTATTCAGTTGTTATATTCATGAATAACACCTATTGAAATATTTTCATTTTATAAATTTTATTTCCATAAAATATATACAAAACACAACATAATGATAAATTTATTTTTTTCTTCTATTAAAATGGAAATTTTGAGTCTTATTTTTGACAGATTTTACAAGATTGGGAAGTGGAATTGAAGAGTCAGAAACAGAAATGTCTGTCTTAGCAATTTTATTGTTCTGCAGTCTACTCAACTGGTGTCCTTTGTCTTGTTCAAGTCGACGTTTTTGTTTTTCTTGAATAACTGCATCCATTCCTTTTGTTTGCTTGAAGTGTGTGTCAGATGGATCCACATTATAAAGATGCGATGTAAACAAAGCTGAAAATCGGGGATCTTCAAGGTCCATCTAGTTTGATATTCAACAAACAAGAACAAATTCTATATATGCTGAAATTCACACGAAAAAGCTAGTGATACATAGGGGTTATAATAAGATAATACACAAAACTATACATTATTTAATTAATTTTTTACCAGATACAATATA